AGGCGGAGCTTCTGCAGGTCCAGGTGGGCGTCGATCCACTCCTCCAGAGCCAAGTTCTGGAACACATCTGTGGAGAGGGAGAGCAGAACCAGGCCTGGGGAGGAGGAGCCTAACAGGGAAGAGGAGGAGTCTATCAGGGAGGAGGAGCCAATGATGGAGGAGGAGGAGCCAACCAGGGAGGAGCCAATGAGGGAGGAGCTGCTCCGGGAGGCCCCGCCCAGAAGAGGCAGCAACCTCCTGACGGCCGACATCACAGATCCTCTCCGTCCGCCATCTGAGAACATCATCATACATATAGAGACGTTTCAATCAGATTCTAGTGTATTTAAGTAGAATAATATATTTGTGTATATCTTATATATTTTCAGGTAATTTTATATAACATATTCTGGTGATCTTTATTAAGGTTAATACCTCATACATAATCATAACAACTAGCTTTTGTTTCCACATTTATATAATCATGTCTGTAATTATTTAAAGATATCAAAACAGGCTTTAAACAGTTAAGATTGACTTCACGTAAAAACACTTTTCTTTGTATTTTTGACCTTGAAATTAAAAATATAAAATCCAAATAAATGTTATTAAAGCTAACAAAGAACTGTCTTACGATTCTCAAAATAAAACAATATTTATCTGATTTTAACCTAATTTCTAGCATCAGTGATATGGATGTGAAGTCAGAGAGAATACATGAAATAAATAAAAACCCATTTGATATTATCACATTTTAATAACGATAACGATAGTTTAGCCTCTCTGTGTGATAGCATTAGCTCCTCCGTTAGCTCCTATGTTTCCACACAAAGCTAACGTTAACCTTTAATAACTTAATCTTTAACTAACAGCCTTTAATTAACAGTTTAATGAGTACAATTCAAATAAATGTAAAGGACAGACTTTGACCTGAAGCGAAGACGAAGCACCGGAGAACACAAACAACATCCGCTTTCAAACTTCAAAATAAAAGATACGACCGTTCCACAGAGAGAAAACGCAGTGACTTTAAAGTGGCTGTGCTTTTATTCTGAAGGGGAAGTAACTTGATCGCCTCTGACCTCGGTCCCACACTCAAAAGGCTCCGTGCTGTTCATGCGTTGCTTTAATGAACATTACATTTAAAATAATGCAGCAGTTTATTAAATATTATATATTTAGAGCTCAGGTTTATTTATAGAAAACAACTGCTAATATAACACATACTAAATACTAATTAACATGTGAGTATTGACTTTAAAATCTATTGTTTTCAGGTTAATTTTAATGTATTAGAGTAAACTAATCTAACTGTTTAAAACTGTGACTTATTTTGTCAGCTTTAATCAAATAAAATTACCATTAAAGAATTATTATAATATATCATTTTAAATGTATATTGAATTAAGAGTAAATTACTTTAAATATTATATTACATGTATTTCTATTTATACATTTTATTAAATTAATCATATATACATGATTAATTGTATTAAATGTAAATTATTTTAAATATTATATTAAACATATATTCACTGTACATTTCATAAAATATTATTATATTAAATAATATTATATTAAATGTCCATAAACGATAATATATTCCCTTTTTTTAATTCATATTTTAATCAATTTAACACATTATATGTTGTAACCTTAACTATCGATGCTTTAAATAATCTGCTTAAAGTAGAAATAAATAATAATTCTGTTAATTAATAAGAAACACCTGCGTTTAGTAAGAGTGGAAATATATATAAAACTATGAATAAATGCTTGTACGTAACTAGGGCATTGCGTTCCTAGAATGCAGGGTTGTTGGTTGTTCCTAGAGTCTCTAAAAGTACAAAGGGAGCCAGAGCCTTTTCTTATCAAGCTCCACATTTGTGGAATCAGCTTCCAGTTTGTGTTCGGGCGGCAGACACCCTATCCGTTTTTTAAGAGTGCGCTTAAGACCTTCCTTTTTGATAAAGCTTATAGTTAGGGCTGATTAGATTCAGCCCCTAGTTTAGCTGCTATAGGCTTAGACTGTCGGGGGACACCTTACTTCTTCCTTCTCTCTGTCTGTACCCTCATGTTCCCAATAACCCAGCTTCCCCCACATTTATTTTTGGTGTCTATCTACGCCGGGATCCTGAGTCCTGGCTGATCCTGAGTCGTGGCTGATCCTGAGTCGTGGCTGATCCTGAGTCGTGGCTGATCCTGAGTCCTGGCTGATCCTGAGTCGTGGCTGATCCTGAGTCCTGGCTGATCCTGAGTCCTGGCTGATCCTGAGTCGTGGCTGATCCTGAGTCGTGGCTGATCCTGAGTCCTGGCTGATCCTGAGTCCTGGCTGATCCTGAGTCGTGGCTGATCCTGAGTCGTGGCTGATCCTGAGTCCTGGCTGATCCTGAGTCCTGGCTGATCCTGAGTCCTGGCTGATCCTGAGTCCTGGCTGATCCTGAGTCGTGGCTGATCCTGAGTCCTGGCTGATCCTGAGTCGTGGCTGATCCTGAGTCGTGGCTGATCCTGAGTCGTGGCTGATCCTGAGTCCTGGACTTCGAGTCGTGGCTGATCCTGAGTCCTGGCTGATCCTGAGTCCTGGCTGATCCTGAGTCGTGGCTGATCCTGAGTCGTGGCTGATCCTGAGTCGTGGCTGATCCTGAGTCCTGGACTTCGAGTCGTGGCTGATCCTGAGTCGTGGCTGATCCTGAGTCGTGGCTGATCCTGAGTCGTGGCTGATCCTGAGTCCTGGCTGATCCTGAGTCGTGGCTGATCCTGAGTCGTGGCTGATCCTGAGTCCTGGCTGATCCTGAGTCCTGGCTGATCCTGAGTCGTGGCTGATCCTGAGTCGTGGCTGATCCTGAGTCCTGGCTGATCCTGAGTCGTGGCTGATCCTGAGTCGTGGCTGATCCTGAGTCCTGGCTGATCCTGAGTCGTGGCTGATCCTGAGTCGTGGCTGATGTGACTCTGAGTTTCCTGTGACTCTGAGGCCCCACTCACACAGGAACGTTTGCGTTTATGCACAGTATGCATATTCAAAAAAGTCTTCCGTTCACATGCATTCGTTTCATTTAACGTGTCTGTTCAAACGAGACCGCTGGAAACGCTGTAGTACATATGCCGGGACTGTAAGTGGCGCTGTAACTTCTGCCAAAATACACCAAAAGCAGCGAAGAAGAGCAGCCCGAGCAGCCCCGCCACAATGTTGCCATGGCTACCCTTCTGTTTATGCCCCGCGGTGTATTTAGCAACATGTAGTTCATGTAATTCTCCATGTCCACTTGTTGCTGATGGTTGTGGTCGAGGAGCTGTAGATTTTGCACTAATATCTGTAGCATGGTCAGTAGCAGTAGCACTAGCAGTAGCTACTGACAGGAGGAGGTGTGTGTGGCGATTGCTGGTATTCAGCGTGATATAGTCATTTCCTCAGCATGTAAATATATGGATAAATGCAACGGGGAAGTTAACTGAAAGAAACCGAATCTGTGGATATTGCATCGACCGACCAAGAAGCACGTCTCCGTGGAGAGGACGGCTCAGAAAGAGAGATATTCTCTACAAACACCGGGTGAGATCCTCCTTTGTCAATATAATGGATCAATGCATGAAATCTGACTCTGTTTATTTTGTTTAAGGAGTATATTGGGCGTTAACAATTCTGGTTTGCCTTTTATAATATTATTTCATTCAAGAACCCCTTGTGCGTTTAATTAACACAGCTATTTTTGATAGTTGCTACAGCAGTGAGCAGGAGAGGCGGGGAGAGGCGGGGAGAGGTGGGGAGAGGTGGGGAGAGGCGGGGAGAGGCGGGGAGAGGCGGGGAGAGGCGGGGGAGAGGTGGGGCTATCGCTATTTTTTCAGGAAATATTCGTATCGAGGTGATTACACGGACTCGGTTGACCCCCCAGAGCGTTTCGTTTGCAAATCTATCCACCTTGGGACCCGTTATCGTTTGTGGGGTCCGTTTCTATCGGCCTCATGTAAATAATAGGGCTATACGCACGCGATGCAGATACAAGCAGTTTTCTCCTCGTGTAAACGGCGCCTGAGTTTCCTGTGACTCTGAGGCTCAGTGTTGATTCTGTAAAACAAACAGCGTGAGGAGATCAAACTCCAGCTGCTGCTCAGGTGACAAACACCTCTCTCACAACACAACTATACAGACAATATGAACAGTTCCTCTGGGTTGAAATACCTGTAGCCGATCAGGTGATACACATTCCTCTCCTAAGCCTGCTTTAGTGCACTTCCTGTCTGCAGGCTGTAATAAGGCCTGACTCCTCCTCAGAGCAAAGTCCTCCTGCTGAACACGAGGAGAAGGAGAGGAGAAGGAGAGGAAGGAGAGGAAGGAGAAGGAGAAGGAGAAGGAGAAGGAGAAGATGGGAGCTCAGGATCAGGAGGAAGAAGCTGCTGCTCCGACAGAAACCAAGAAGAAGAAGCAGACGTCTAAAGAAGTTTGTTTCTCCGTCCTGCCCGACAGATACGAGCCTCTGATCGAGGAGGAAGAGGAGGAAACACAGGAGGAGAGGAGGAAGAGGAAGGAGGAGAAGAAGAGGAGGAAGACCAAGAGGTACAAGAAGATCAGGAAGGTAGGAAACAACCATGACCTTTGACCTGATTCAATCATAATGTGGTGGTCAATAAAAACATCAAGGAAAATAGTTTTTAATGTTTTATGGCTGTTTTTGTGGAAATAAAAATAAATATACAATAATTTAAAAATAAAAGTAATTTAGAATTTAATTCAAAACAGAAAACCATGGAAACATTTCAGCTTCTGTTAAAGGAACATTTATTAAAAATATCAGAAGTAAAGCAGATATTTAAATATAGATTCAATATAAATAAACATATATCATAATTAAAATATAAAAATGAAATAAACTTTACAAAAAAATACAGTAAATAAATATAAAATATAAGCTGAGCCCTGACAGGAACATATTACAGTTAATATAAATCATTTAACCCTTAATTTAAAAAAAAATATCATGTAAATATTTAATATAATAAAAAATGCTGAAAAATAATAACTGTTTAAATCTGACAAAAAAACATTAAATAAAAACACCAAAAGTAAAGTTCTGCGTTTGTTTACATAATTTAAAATAGGTGATTAACGTCCTGTTTGATTTTAACTCCAGCTGGTGAACAGAGGGTGTTTCTCAATGTCCTTGGTAGCACATGTCTTCTGAGTCAGGTCCTTCAGAAGCGAGGCAAGAATCCTTCCTAGCCTCGGAAAACGAAGAATGGTGGAACAGGCTAACAGGCTAACAAGCTAACAGGCTAACAGGCTAACAGGTGTGCAGGTGTGCGTCATATGCGAGGCCCCGCCTTAAATGGAGAGTGATTTCCGCGAAAGATTTGGTAATTGGTCCGTGCATTGTGGGGATTTTAAGACCGTGGAGTCTACACATGTGCAGCCTCGAAATTTCTCGCAATGAAGGACGCCGGCCTCGGTAGAATTCCAAGTATCCTGGACATTGGAACAGTCCTTCGGCGGCACTCGATGACGTAGCATCCTTGAAATAGTGGCTCTGGAGCATCCTTCCTCGACATTGAGAAACACCCTGTAACTCAGAACTTTTGTTGGACCTTTGACCCTCAGGACGACGCGTCAGTCTGACAGATAACACCAGACCTCTGACATACCACCGTGTACTCACAAGTATAAGTACACTAACTTAGAAAATATTTGATAAAACACAAATAAATAAAAATACATAAAAAGATTCTTTAGGATTCATCCTCTGGGGAACATGAATTTAAACAAAAAGAAATCCAGCTGAAAAATGTATTTAAATATAAATATATAGCAGAAGTAATTATGAATTAAATTATAAATCAAATATAGAATAAAATAAAGTTATATCCCCGTGTGTAAAATGATATCTAATGATATTAATAAAACAACAAATAAATACATAATAGTTTGAATAACTATACAATAAAATAAATACATATCACATTGTGTAAAAATAAAAATAAATTATATATTTAAATAAATAAATAATTGATGTATAAAATAATAATAAATGATTATTATTTAAATTAAATATGTTGGTAAAAAGCTGACATTTCTCTGATTTCTTTAGGATCCATCCTCAGGGGATCATGAATGTCTGAATATATATTATTGTTATTAAATAGTGCTGAATCTTGATTATTTTAAACTAATCTTTATCTTCCCATCAGAACGTGGGGAAGGCGCTACGTCTGAGCTGGCGCTGTTTGATGCTCGGTCTGCAGAACATGGCGGCCGTTTACTCCACTCCGTCCTCCGCTCTGTCCACCGTGGTGAGCGAGGTCCAGAGGAGCAAAGCATGATGGGACATGGAGTCCCCTGAGCACGGACCTGTAGTTCCTTCTGTGGCCTGTGTGTGGAGATCCTTCCTAATGTGGACGACCTGGACGACTTTAATACACTGAGCCTGGCACATGTTAGCATATGTTAGCATACAGCGGTACTGTATTTTTATGTATATGTTCTTGAGGAAAACATATTTTATGACGTCACAAATACATTTCTGTCAGCAAACAAACCGGACCAAGAGAGCGATGTGTCCTGTGTGAAACCAAAAGTTTACCTATTTACGACGCAACTATTAAACAACAAACACACCTGCATAAATATGCACAAATGTATCTGTATTAGTATATTGTATTATTATGTCGTGTACTGCACTATTACTTAGTTGCATTTTAAATATATTTTACGTAAATCATTAACAAATTGCAAGTCAGCAGAAGAGCAAGGTAGCTGTTAGCCCCAAGCTGTTAGCTCTTAGCAGTAAGCTATTAACTGTTAGCTGTTAACTGTAAGCTGTTAGCTGTTAACTGTAAGCTGTTAACTGTTAGCTGTAAGCTGTTAACTGTTAACTGTTAGCTGTTAGCTGTAAGCTGTTAGCTGTTAACTGTAAGCTGTTAACTGTTAGCTGTAACCTGTTAACTGTTATCTGTAAGCTGTAAACTGTTAGCTGTAAACTGTAAGCTGTAACTGTAAACTGTTAACTGTTAACTGTAAGCTGACTGTTAGCTGTAAGCGGTGAACTGTTAGCTGTAAACTGTTAACTGTTAGCTGTAAGCTGTAAGCTGTTAGCTGTCAGCTGTCAACTGTCAGCTGTCAACTGTCAACTGTAAGCTGTTAGCTGTAAACTGTTAGCTGTTAACTGTAAACTGTTAACTGTAAGCTGACTGTTAGCTGTAAACTGTGAACTGTTAACTGTAAACTGTTAACTGTAAACTGTAAACTGTCAACTGTAAACTGTTAACTGTTAGCTGTAAGCTGTAAACTGTTAGCTGTAACTGTAAACTGTAAACTGTCAACTGTAAGCTGTTAGCTGTAAACTGTAAATTGTCAACTGTAAACTGTTAACTATTAGCTGTAAGCTGTAAGCTGTCAACTGTAAGCTGTTAGCTGTTAACTGTAAGCTGTAAGCTGTTAGCTGTTAACTGTAAACTGTTAACTGTAAGCTGTTAACTGTAAGCTGTAAACTGTTAGCTGTTAACTGTAAGCTGTTAACTGTTAGCTGTAAGCTGTTAACTGTAAGCTGTTAACTGTTAGCTGTTAACTGTAAACTGTAAGCTGTTAACTGTAAACTGTTAGCTGTTAACTGTAAGCTGTTAGCTGTTAACTGTAAACTGTAAGCTGTTAACTGTAAGCTGTTAACTGTAAGCTGTTAACTGTAAGCTGTTAACTGTCAGCTGTAAGCTGTCAACTGTAAGCTGTAAACTGTTAACTGTAAGCTGTTAACTGTAAGCTGTTAACTGTCAGCTGTAAACTGTTAACTGTAAGCTGTCAACTGTCAGCTGTAAGCTGTTAACTGTTAGCTGTTAGCTGTTAACTGTCAGCTGTAAGCTGTTAACTGGTAAGCTGTCAACTGTCAACTGTCAGCTGTAAGCTGTTAACTGTTAGCTGTTAGCTGTTAGCTGTTAGCTGTAAGCTGTTAACTGTTAGCTGTTAGCTGTAAGCTGTTAACTGTTAGCTGTAAACTGTTAACTGTTAACTGTAAACTGTTAACTGTTAACTGTTAACTGTTAACTGTTAACTGTTAACTGTAAGCTGTTAACTGTTAACTGTTAACTGTAAGCTGTTAACTGTAAGCTGTTAGTGATGTGGAATCCTTATTCCTGGAAGTGTACTCCCTGCTTGGACAAAGTCAGTGTGTTGTGATTTGTTGAGTGAAATACTTAGAAAACTGTTCTTGTTGCCAACAAGAACAGGTCAGCTTGACATGAGAGTCAGGAGGAACTAGGATTGGATCCATGACAGAGAAAGAGTGTGTCATTATGGCCAAACCAGATGTTAATTTATCAGCCAGGTGGGTGGGGAAAGAACTGTGTGTGTGTGTGTGTGTGTGTGTGTGTATGTGTGTGTGTGTGTGTGTGTGTGTGTGTGTGTGTGTGTGTGTGTGTGTGTGTGTGTGTGTGTGTGTGTGATAGCTCTTAGCAGTTAGCTGTTAGCAGCTGGTGGCTACTTTGCTTGGCTAAATAACATGGCTAACAGCTAATGCTAACAGAGGTTCAATGGGAGGTTGTCTTCAGTAATAACTGGTAATAATGAGTAAAGGTATCTTATAGTGTTTTCATGTTGTCTTCAAATGTAGTCTTTTACTACATTTAAATCTCTAATATTGACCTTTTTCTCACTGGAAATTCATGCATTTAAAAACCTTCATAACATATGTTAAAGTTCAGAGTTTGGTCAGTGTTATTAAGTATATGTGTGTTTATATATTAATAATCAATTTAATGTGCCTTATTATTATTTTCATGTCATTTGTTTTAATAAACATTGCATAATATGTTGTTCCAGGAGACTGAAGCTAACTCTTTTCTGTACATGTGAAACCTGCAATATTAAGGTGTTTATCAAATAAATGTACTCTAAAACTAGATCTGCTTTCTGTCTTATTAACAAATATTTGTACAACCATGCTGAATATACCTTTACAAAAAAAGCATTATAATGAGTTAGAAACTTATTTATGTTTACTGAATTAAAGGTAGGGTAGGTAAGTTTGAGAAACCAGCTCGAGATCGCTAGAATTTGAAAATACACAACCGGAGAAAATCTGCCACTTCCTCACAGAGCCCCTCCTCCAACACACACGAACGCACACATGACCAATGAGGGCACGAGATAAGTTTGTGCACAGATGGAAGGCTGACAGGCAGGTAGGCCATCCAGTCATTTTAGCCGGGCCGGCTCAGATGATTGGTCGTGCTTTTTACAGTACTACAGCTTCCACAGATGATATTTATTTATGGATTTTTTGTCAAAGCACTTCAGATATTCATTGCTATCGGGATGTTAAGAGCATTCCATGGAATATAACAAAAAGTGTATCTCGAGCCGGTTTCTCAAACTTACCTACCCAACCTTTAACTTTACTAATCGGGGTAAATCCTGTCACTGACAGACCTCCACTCCTTATAAGGAGAAGTGGGCGGGGACTGAACCTCAAGCTGAAACTTCACTTTGAGTTTGAAGTGTGTGTGGCTGACAGGAGCAGCTGTTCTCTCACACTCACACACACTCAAACCCCCACACACACACACTCACACTCTCCTGGAGGAATGGCAGCAGCATGGCTCTCTCCTGACATGTTGGACTTGTTTTTGTAGCCCTGATCGCAGGATGTCCCCTCTGCAGATCTCTCTTTACTGCCGCCTCTCCCTCGTCTTCTTCTTCACCTCCTTCCTCTTCTTCCTCGACATTTTCACGGCCGCCATCGTCGCCGAGACCTGTCCCCATGGCAACGGCACTGAGGTCAACCAATCGGAGGCCGGCACAGAAAGCGGGAAAACAGACGTGAGTGCTGGAGAGTTCCTCTAAAAAAACTCTTTTTTAAAAGTATACTTGTGTGTTTTTAAGATTGAATAACGATGACTGTGTCGCAGAGCCTTACCTAACAGGTCACTGTACAGATTAACACTCAAGAGTTAATGAGCAACACGGAGTTGTTCATTTCAACACTCTGTCTGCTGATTAAGAAAACATCCCATCAGAGCTCAGAGGACCTGTGTCTTAAATCCCAGCTACAGAGCAAGTTACACCTGAGCTGTGTTTAAAGATCTTTAACAAACGGTCCCACGATGACCCTGATTTACCTAAAGTAGATGAGGAGCGCCCCGTCCCTTCAAAACACAACACAACGCTCTCCATTCACTTGTATACAGACTCTTCTTGCACTATTTTATCTGTTTTATTTGTTTTATGTCCTATTTATGTTCATGTTGCTCTGTTGGAGGACTTCCTGTGGACCAGAAATCCACAAAGCCGTGACCTGAGCCTAAAATTACCTTTTTGGGGGGGGTAACAGTCTGTCTTTATGAATTTATCTGTGTGTGTGTGTGTGTGTGTGTGTGTGTGTGTGTGTCAGTCAGTGTGTGATTGGACAGACCTGCTGGCGTACGGTCAGACGCTCTTCATGGTGGGGCTGCTGCTGGGCTCTCTGGTGGGGGGAGCCCTCTCTGACAGGTAAACACACACACACACACACACACACACACACACACACACACACACACACACACACACACACACACACACACACACACACACACACACACACACACACACACACACACACACACACACACACACACACACACACACACACACACACACACACATACACTGAGTGGAAACACATTAAGAACATTGACATATCTACACTGTAGCTATGTACAAATGACAATAAAGGCCTTGAATCTATTTCTGTGTGTGTGTGTGTGTGTGTGTTTGTGTGTGTGTAGGTACGGTAAGCGCCCGGTGCTGCTGGTGTGTGTGTGTTTACACGCTTTCTGCGGCCTGGTTCCCGCGGTGTTCCCTCAGCCAATCGTCTTCCTCGCTGTCCGCTGTGTGACGGGTGTCTGCTGCTGCTGCATCAACATCTGCTCCTTCAGCCTGGGTAACAGCAGCTCCTTAACCCCCCCCTCGTTAGAGCTGATGCTGATTGGACCGCGGCGGGGCTCACAGCTGATTACGAACACGTGTTCAGATACAGTCCTGCTGACCGGGCTAACGAGGCGACCTCTGACCTCTGCTGGACCCCAGTCTGGGTTCCTCACATCCTGAGGAATTTAGTCTTTTGTCAGAAGTAAACAAGCTGAGGGGGCGGAAGAGGAAAGAACATCGACCTGTAGTTCCTTTATAGCCCAATGTTAGCCGCCTTTAGCTTAGCGGTGGTGACGTGAAGTCATGTGACCGTGCTGTAGTTCCTTTATAGCCCAACATTAGCCACCTTTAGCTTAGCGGTGGTGACGTGAAGTCATGTGACCGTGCTGTAGTTCCTTTATAGCCCAACATTAGCCACCTTTAGCTTAGCGGTGGTGACGTGAAGTCATGTGACCGTGCTGTAGTTCCTTTATAGCCCAACATTAGCCTCCTTTAGCTTAGCGGTGGTGACGTGAAGTCATGTGACCGTGCTGTAGTTCCTTTATAGCCCAACATTAGCCTCCTTTAGCTTAGCGGTGGTGACGTGAAGTCATGTGACCCGTGCTGTAGTTCCTTTATAGCCCAACATTAGCCTCCTTTAGCTTAGCGGTGGTGACGTGAAGTCATGTGACCGTGCTGTAGTTCCTTTATAGCCCAACATTAGCCACCTTTAGCTTAGCGGTGGTGAAGTGAAGTCATGTGACCGTGCTGTAGTTCCTTTATAGCCCAACATTAGCCTCCTTTAGCTTAGCGGTGGTGACGTGAAGTCATGTGACCGTGCTGTAGTTCCTTTATAGCCCAACATTAGCCTCCTTTAGCTTAGCGGTGGTGAAGTGAAGTCATGTGACCGTGCTGTAGTTCCTTTATAGCCCAACATTAGCCTCCTTTAGCTTATCGGTGGTGAAGTGAAGTCATGTGACCGTGCTGTAGTTCCTTTATAGCCCAACATTAGCCTCCTTTAGCTTAGCGGTGGTGACGTGAAGTCATGTGACCGTGCTGTAGTTCCTTTATAGCCCAACATTAGCCTCCTTTAGCTTAGTGGTGGTGAAGTGAAGTCATGTGACCGTGCTGTATAGGCTAACGTTAGCTGTGTTTCTGTTAGCTGTAGAGTGGACTCTCCCCTCCTCTCGTCTCTGGCCTCCAGCCTTCCTGCCCTTCTGCTTCTCTCTGGGCACGATGGGGGGGGCTCCTCTGGCCTGGATGAGCCTCACCTGGACGCAGCTCCACCTGTCGCTGTCGCTGCCTCAGATCCTCTGTCTGCCACTCTACCTGTAGGTAAACACACCTGTCCGGCTGTCCGTTCAGTTCTTTAAGTGTTTTAATTATTCCTCTGTTTTCCAGGTGGATCCCAGAGTCTCCGCGCTGGTTGTTGTTGAAAAGGAGGATGGACGTTCTGGAGCGTTACCGTAGCAACAGCCCTGCAGATAAACAATGTCTGGACCTGGTAAACAAACACTCTTTCAGACACACACACACACACATCGTTAACTGATACTAACTGTGTGTGTGTAGCTGTTAGACTCGGCGTGGTCTAACCTGCAGAAAGCCAGCGAGGCGGGGGAGGAGCCAACACCAGGAGGCCACGCCCCCGGTGACATCATCCACCTGAGTAACCGCACCGTGCTGCTGCGGCTGTTCATCATGAGCTACCTGAGGTATTTAAATATATACACATATGAATATGTATTTGAACATAAATGTTAAAGTGAAAGCTGTGTTCTGCAGTGCTGCGTCGGCGCTGACGTACTACGGGATCTGCATGAACATCAGCTCGTTCGGCGTCGGCGTTTACTCCGCCCAGTTCTTCTCTGGTCTATCAGAAGCCCCCTGCCTGCTCGTCCCATTGGTCCGTCTGGGGCGGCGGCCAATCAGCATGCTCGCTCTGTTCCTGAGCGGAGCGTCCTGCTTCCTGTCGCTGCTGCTGTCCAGATACAACGGTGAGGATCAGAAAGAACAACGTGGTGTAGAAAGAACGATGTACAGGAGGGTATCGTCAGCATACAGTCAGTACTCGGGTAACAGGTAGTGTGTGTGTGTGTGTGTGTGTGTGTGTGTGTGTGTGTGTGTGTGTGTGTGTGTGTGTGTGTGTGTGTGTGTGTGTGTGTGTGTGTGTGTGTGTCGGTGCTCCGGTGCTGGTGATGAGTCTGGCTCTGCTCGGGAAACTTTGCATCCTCGCAGCGCTCTTCATCTCCATCCTGTACAGCATCGAGCTCTTCCCCACCGTGGTCAGGTACACAAAGAGACTCTAAAGGACTACAAAGAGACAGAATGACTACAAAGAGACACTAAAGGACTACAAAGAGACTCAAAGGACTACAAAGACACACTAAAGGACTACAAAGAGACTACAAAGACACACTGAAGGACTACAAAGACACACTAAAGGACTACAAAGAGACTACAAAGACACACTGAAGGACTACAAAGACACACTAAAGGACTACAAAGAGACTACAAAGACACACTAAAGGACTACGAAGACACACTAAAGGACTACAAAGAGACTCAAAGGACTACAAAGACACACTAAAGGACTACAACGACACACTAAGGGACTACAAAGACACACTAAATGTATAATCGATGTCTTCCTGTCTTCCTCCCAGGCAGCGCTGTGTGTCTCTGGTGAATCTGTGTTTCCGGCTCGGTTGCCTGGCGAACTCCCTCGTCCCCGCACACCCAAACGGAACGATCTCATTGGCTGCCATGGTGGTGTACAGCAGCGGACCAATCATAGGCAGCGCTCTGTGTCTCCTACTGCCGGAGACCAGCGGCGTCCCGCTGCCCGACACCATGCAGGACTGTGAGAGACAGCCCCCGCCCCCCAGCATCTCTGCACTCTGGAGGAGGAGGTGAGGGAAACCAGCACTATAACATGATATACTATTACAATAACATGATATACTATCACAATAACACAATATACTATTACATTAACACAATATACTATCACAATAACATGATAAACTATCACAATAACACGATATACTATCACAATAACACGATATACTATCACAATAACATGATACACTATCACAATAAACTGATATACTATCACAATAACATGATATACTATTACAATAACATGATACACTATCACAATAACATGATACACTATCACAATAACTATCACAATAACACGATAAACTATCACAATAACACAATATACTATCACAATAACACGATCAACTATCACAATAACACAATATACTATCACAATAACACGATAAACTATCACAATAACTATCACAATAACATGATACACTATTACAATAACATGATACACTATCACAATAACATGATAAACTATCACAATAACTATCACAATAACACGATATACTATCACAATAACACGATCAAATATCACAATAACACAATATACTATTACATTAACACAATATACTATCACAATAACATGATAAACTATCACAATAACACGATATACTATCACAATAACACGATATACTATCACAATAACATGATACACTATCACAATAAACTGATATACTATCACAATAACATGATATACTATTACAATAACATGATACACTATCACAATAAACTGATATACTATCACAATAACTATCACAATAACACGATAAACTATCACAATAACACAATATACTATCACAATAACACGATCAACTATCACAATAACACAATATACTATCACAATAACACGATAAACTATCACAATAACTATCACAATAACATGATACACTATTACAATAACATGATACACTATCACAATAACATGATAAACTATCACAATAACTATCACAATAACACGATATACTATCACAATAACACGATCAAATATCACAATAACACAATATACTATTACATTAACACAATATACTATCACAATAACACGATATACTATCACAATAACACGATATACTATCACAATAACACGATATACTATCACAATAACATGATACACTATCACAATAAACTGATATACTATCACAATAACATGATATACTATTACAATAACATGATACACTATCACAATAACATGATAAACTATCACAATAACTATCACAATAACACGATAAACTATCACAATAACACAATATACTATCACAATAACACGATCAACTATCACAATAACACAATATACTATCACAATAACACGATCAACTATCACAATAACACAATATACTATCACAATAACACGATAAACTATCACAATAACTATCACAATAACATGATACACTATTACAATAACATGATACACTATCACAATAACATGATAAACTATCACAATAACTATCACAATAACACGATATACTATCACATATACTATCACAATAACATGATATACTATTACAATAACATGATACACTATCACAATAACATGATAAACTATCACAATAACTATCACAATAACATGATATACTATTACAATAACATGATACACTATCACAATAACATGATAAACTATCACAATAACTATCACAATAACACGATAAACTATCACAATAACACAATATACTATCACAATAACACGATCAACTATCACAATAACACAATATACTATCACAATAACACGATAAACTATCACAATAACTATCACAATAACATGATACACTATTACAATAACATGATACACTATCACAATAACATGATAAACTATCACAATAACTATCACAATAACATGATACACTATTACAATAACATGATACACTATCACAATAACATGATAAACTATCACAATAACTATCACAATAACACGATATACTATCACATATACTATCACAATAACATGATATACTATTACAATAACATGATACACTATCACAATAACATGATAAACTATCACAATAACTATCACAATAACATGATATACTATTACAATAACATGATACACTATCACAATAACATGATAAACTATCACAATAACTATCACAATAACACGATAAACTATCACAATAACACAATATACTATCACAATAACACGATCAACTATCACAATAACACAATATACTATCACAATAACACGATAAACTATCACAATAACTATCACAATAACATGATACACTATTACAATAACATGATACACTATCACAATAACATGATAAACTATCACAATAACTATCACAATAACACGATATACTATCACAATAACACGATCAAATATCACAATAACATGATATACTATTACAATAACACGATACACTATCACAATAACACGATAAACTATCACAATAACACAATATACTATTACATTAACACAATATACTATCACAATAACATGATAAACTATCACAATAACACGATATACTATCACAATAACACGATACACTATCACAATAACACGATACACTATCACAATAACACGATCAACTATCACAATAACACAATATACTATTACAATAACACGATATACTATCAAAATAACACGATATACTATCACAATAACACGATATACTATCACAATAACACGATACACTATCACAATAACACGATACACTATCACAATAACATGATCAACTATCACAATAACACAATATACTATCACAATAACACAATATACTATCACAATAACACGATAAACTATTAGAAATAGATGCAAAATGACTAAGGGACCAAAGTACTGCAAAAAGAGGCAAAACAATCACAAAGACTCTCAAAACTACTGCAAACATTTGAAAATGTTATATTGGACTCCTTTGTTCACTTCCGATACATAGTGACATCACTACGGAACACTCATGCTCCTATTGGCTAGCGCTGCAACACATTGTACGTGATAGGCTAAGAGCTTTTCTAACAGCAAAGCATGGAGACATGTCCCAGTAGAGGAAAGGTCATCTTTAAAGTTACAAAACAAGAAAAATGGTTAGAAAACCACCATGACACCCACCCACCCACACACACACCCACACCCACACACCCACACCCACACACCCACACCCACACACACACACAATATCTGTCCAGCTGTTGAACTTGAACCTGACAAATTCTTTGCACCAAATCAACCATTATTGCACACGTACATTAACAGCTGCGCACTAAATCATAGTGGTCCTTAACTGGATGTGTGTGTGTGTGTGTGTGTGTCTTTTCAGGAAGCTGGTAAGCAGCCAAAGCAGGAAACCAGAGACGCTCCCTGCAGAGAAAGGAGACACACACACTACACTCATTTAACACTCATTAAACAAACACACACACACACACACACACACACACACACACACACACACACACACACACACACACACACACACACACACACACACACACACACACACACACTTTGAGTGCTAATTTGTTTTAACTTGAATCTTTAGTATTTTTCATGTTTTAATGTTTTGTGTTTTTAGGTTTCATTTTTATTTTGAGACCAAGAAACTGATGCACAAAATGTATTTTTGTTGTTTTGAAAATAAAATGTTGATAAAATAAAATGTATTTTTCCTACTTGATTAAAATACAAATGTGTTGATTATTATTATGTCGTTTTTTTAAATGCCTCCATTGGACTCCTTTGTTTACTCCTGGAAGATAGTGACATCACTAAGGAACACTGGAGCATAAAGAAGCAGCTGCCGCCCTCTGCAGGACAACACAAGAACTGCAGCCTTTAACATCTAGTCATCTACATTATATTAATCTGATCCAATTAAATCATTCTAGATATTATTGTTTAACCTATGAATGCTGCTAAATAATGGGATTAGTTTTGTGTCATTAAGATAAAGCAACACTTTCTCAGAATCAAGCAAAACTAAGAGTTCAAGAGAAAAAAGCAAAATAAATGTAACAAAAACATAAAACTATAAGTTGCAAACAAATCATTTGTGTAATCATGCAAACTATAAGTCTTTCTTCTTTGTTTTAACATGTCTTTTTGTTCTTGTTTCTTCTTTCTCAACGATCAGACTTTTGCTCTCGCTGCAGCTCTTCTCGTTTGCGCTCCCTCATTTTTTGTCTTCGATTCTGACACAAAGTCCCAGGTGGGCTTTCAGCTAAACTAGAGAGAGCATCGCTGGCAAGGGGGCTACAACTACAACAAGATGAACATATTTGACCGTGATTTAATTGTAATACACGTTTCAAAATGATGAAGTAACAACATACTGATACCGGTTAGTAAAAACCATGAATTAATGCTTTGTCAAGTCTGCAGACAGACGGCAGGCGAAAAACCTTTTAAAATGCTTGTTTTCTAAATGGAGATTGGCTAAGCTAACGCAGTATATGCTCCGACCGTCCACACTCACAACAACGGCCTATACAGACATAAATAAAGCAGCGACTGTATTCACCATGACACAGGCAGTCTGTGGTTTGTACTTGTTTAACTTTTGTCTAGTTTCTGAACAGATATGAGGAGCTGTGAGCTCTGAGTGCTAACAGCTAACGGCTGTGTTGTTTTTCTGGGGTTCTCATTGAAGATCACGTCACGGCTCCGCCTACACTGCGTTACTATAGATACTACCCCAGTTCCTAAACTGTAATGGAAATGCGCCATAAAGTGAGCCAGTCCTAACGAGGCCCTAACGAGGCCTAGCCATACCGAGCGAGGCCGTGTAGTGGAAATGCGCCATTAGCTTGCATTGTTATGGATCTAAAGTTAGCAAAAGCTAGCTTTCATAGCACAGCTTTACTTCTCACTTAACACAATAAAGAAACGGAGCGTATAGTTCAGCACAAACAACTCAAATGATCAATACTTACATATATTTTCACTTGTATTATAATAATTGAAATGCTGGTTCTTCTGGGGGTCTTCTGTCCACGCTCAGCTACCGCACCGCAGCTGCACTGTACAATCACTGGAGGACTGGGCTGTCACTCAAAAACTGAGTAGCCAATGGGGACGCACCCCTGAAAGTCCCGCCCACCTGGGACGCTTGTGTCAGAATCGAAAACAAAAAATGAGGGAGCGCAAACGAGAAGAGCTGCAGCGAGAGCAAAAGTCTGATCGTTGAGAAAGAAGAGAACTGCAAACAATAAGATGTGTTAAAACAAAGAAGAAAGACTTATAGTTTACATGATTACACAAATGATTTGTTTGCAACTTATAGATTTATTTTTGAAATTATATTTATTTTGCTTTTCTGTTTAAAGGTCCCATGCCATTTCTACTGATCATAGTTCCATTGTTGAGGTCTACTAGAATAGATGTACATTGTTCAATGTTCCAAACTCACATTGGTTTCTCATACAGCATCTCTGTATAGTATGTGTATTCACTCTCTGTCCTACACGGCTTGATGGAGCTCCTGCCCCCCCCCCCTGTGAGCCCACTGTGCTCTGATTGGTCGGGACGTTGCGAGGCTCGTTGCTGCGAGGAGCGGACAGGTTTCCGGGTCGGCGATACAGCGAGAACAAGCCAAACTCATCCTGAGCACACAAACACTCACAGCCGAAGTAAAAACAATAAGTGTGGCTTGATATTGAGAAAGAAAAAGGTTTCTAACGCTGTGAGAATGGGTCTGCAGAGAGCATTCCTCCACCATCCCAACTCGTGTATTACCAACCAGGGAGCTCTATGCAAGTCAATGGGACTCCCTGTTAGTTAGCCAAGGGATCCTGGTGTGTGAGGGGCTCCGCTGATTGGTCCATTTGGGCCAATCCGGTCATTTGTTGTTGATCTGGGTGTTCACACGTCACAGAACCCAGGAAGCAAACAATGTAAAAAGAGAAATGTCCAACGAGGCGTTCTGGGGCAGCAGAGACAGGTCTGCTCTGTGTTAGAGTTTTACTCTCTACAGGGTGCACTCTGAGGGTTTGTGACTCTGCAGACCGTTCACATGCAGAAGCTACAGAACACAAGGGGACCGGTAAGAACCGGGAAACCATGACATGGGACCTTTGAGTCTTAGTTTTACTTGATTCTGAGAAAGTGTTGCTTTATCTTTATGAAACAAAACTAATCCCATACTAAATGAGATGGAAGTATTACCTAAATAAATACAAATAATCAAAGATGCAAAACCACAATGAAAAGCAAAGCAATATTTCTTTCGATTTTATTTCAGTTTTCCTTTGGCAAAGTAAACAAGCAGCACAGTCTGTCTTATTTGATCCAAGCTCCAACAAGTGATCATTTTAATCAAACTTTAAATAAACTATAAACAGATAAAAATGTCTAAAGTATTCCACATCCCTCCGGCTGTAACAGAACCCGAACACTGCTATCGTGCTATAAGTAAACAAATATTCACCCAGAAATACAAGATAATGTGACTTTAGATCCCTAAAGTCAATTCAAAGGGAAAAAACGTGAGTGTATGTACAACCTGTAATCACAACATTATGAATACCGTTTAGGACGGTGTTCAAATTTAAGTCAATTCAAAGTGAAAATGGGCTTTTATTTAAAGTATTTTAGTGAAATATAAAAAGTGTATTGTTTTTCTAAAATATCAAATTAGTTTCTTTCTTTATTTTGTTTTATTTTGAAAGGACAGGAGTTTTTCCGGTTGAATCAGAAAATTATAAATATTTCTTCATTTGATTAACTTTGAAGGAAAGAGAGATTTTGGAAATATAATTAAAAAGACTGACATTTTCTTTAAATTTGATGTAGAAAAAAGGTGTTAATCCTGAAATAAATGTTATTAAAATAAAATGATGATTGACTCTCTCACCATGCCAGGATAGTTTCTGTCAATATCACATTTATTATAATTATTTTAATACTTTTACCTGAAAACCAACATTTTAGTGTTTATATTTAAATATTTTCAGATGTCTTGTTATTTCTTCTCTAATCTTTAATCTAACCGCTCTGAAGTTTGTCCCTCCGGCTCGCCGTAGACTCAGAACGCCACGAAGTTGGCAGGAAAGATGCCTACGCGCCCGTCGCTATGACGACCCTCCCACCAATCGTACTGCGACTCGGTCTTGGTAACCACGGTGATGCTGTCGCCCGGGACGAAGCTCAGGTCGCCGGGCTGTTGCCCCGTGAACGGGTGCGTCGCCGTGACAACGAGCTCTCCACTAGCTGCTCCCCCTCCTGCAGCGGGAAAATAAACAACATTTATTTAGAAGAAAAAATGTAAACAAATAGATTTAAACTACGAAATAAATCATTAGAAATTACTTTAATTACAGAATACAAATATTTAAAGGGGACCTATCATGCAAAATGCACTTTTGTACGTCTTTTCTACATGAATATGTGTCCCCGGTGTTCCAGGGAACTCACCAAGTGTCAGAAAACACAACCCTCTCTATTTTCCTCCATACCCAAATCTCTAAAAAAGGGGCTGCAACGGATCTGATAAAAACTGATCCAGATTTGAACACTGTCCTGACGTCAGGACGGTGGCGCTACGGCTATTGGGCCAACTCTCCACCTATCAGGGGAATGTGGGGTTGGGCCACGGCCATTGCCGCTCGAAAGCGCTGGAGACGCTGTAGTACATATGCCAGGCCTGTAAGTGGCGCTGTAGTCTGCCACAAAAGCAGCGAAGAAGACTTCCCGCCCATAGTTGCCATGGTTACCCTTCTGTTTATTCTCCGCTGTGGCTTTCTTTCTCCCTCCCAGAGGCAAGCGTTTGCTCCCGCTGCTTTAATTCAATGCAATCCCTCCCCGTCGAGGCAAGCACTGTAATTCTCTCCGGTTAGTCCACCAGCAGATGACAAACACCCACTCTTTCGCCGGTCAAGATGTCCGTTAAAGTTTAAATTAGAAAAGTGCCGGTCAAAGGTCTTCTTTGTTATTTATTGAGCTTTAAAACAAATGAATAATGACTCTATATAATAATATAATAAAACACGGAGGACGGATATCTATTTTTCTCCCCCTCTTCTGACAGCCCAGCAGCTGATCTCAAAGCACACCCCCCTCTCCTGCAGGGGGGCGTGGTCAGCTGCAGCTCACAGAATCAGCCCCTTGCAAAAACAGGGCTGGAAAAGAGCAAATAGAGCGAAATGAGGCATGGCTAAAATGCAGGATCTGTTTGGTATTTTGAAAAAAAAACTAAACAGACATGTTTTATATAGGTATGGCCCTACAATATATTGTTCAAATATAGCATGATAGGTCCACTTTAAATAAATATTAAAAAATATATATATTAATAAAAATAATAAAAACATTCAGTATGACAACAATAATAAATAAAAACAAAAGGCAAGGGTTTTAGAAATGCTGATATCTTTGTTCAGGTTTTCTGTATGACCGTAGCTCTCTGTTAAATAACACGAGGGTTAATGTTAGTTTTGTTATTTGAGAACTGACCGTTGTTTGGTGGGTTTCTGGAGGCTAACTGGCCTGAAACAGACAAAAGATTATTATTACATTTTAAATGAGATTTAAAGACAGATCATGAAAAAAATACACGATAAATACACAATAAATACACAATAAATACACAATAAAGGAGTTCTTGTTGATTACTTTTCTTTCTCTACTTAAAGAAATCTTATATGATCAGATCTTTGCATAAATATTTGAAAGGCAGTGTGTAGCTGCAGGTTGTGACCACAAGAGGGCGCCACAGCTTCAAAACTAAATCACCTATTAAACTGCAGGGAAGGAAAGAGGTAAGGGAGAAGGAAAGAGGTAAGGGAGAAGGAAAGAGGTAAGGAAGAAGGAAAGAGGTAAGGGAGAAGGAAAGGTAGGAAAGACGGAGTAAATCAAGGAAATAAGGAGGTAGTGAGAGAACACAAGCAAAGAAGGAAAGGAGGTGATAGTAAAGGAGAGTATGTGGTGGGGAAGGCAACAAGGAGGTATGAAAAGGAAACAAGGATGAAGCAGTGTTTCAGAGTGAAGATGGACGAAGGTAAAACTCACCTGAAGTCTCAGATTTATAGACGGAGATGCTCGGGTACTGGGCGTTTTTATCCGTGGTGGCTGGAGACGGCTGGTATGCAGCTGGTTGTTGTTGTTGTTGTTGTTGTTGTTGTTGGTATCCGGCTGGTTGTTGTTGTTGCTGATAACTGGCTGGTTGTTGTTGGTATCCGGCTGGTTGTTGTTGTTGTTGGTATCCGGCCGGATGTTGTTGTTGTTGGTATCCGGCCGGATGTTGTTGTTGGTATCCGGCTGATGGTTGTTGTTGGTATCCGGCTGGTTGTTGTTGGTATCCGCCTGGTTGTTGTTGTTGGTATCCGCCTGGTTGTTGGTATAAGGCTGGTTGTTGTTGGTATCCGGCTGGTTGTTGTTGTTGGTATCCGACTGGCTGTTGTTGGTATCCGGCTGGTTGTTGTTGTTGGTATCCTGATGACGGTCTTCGCTGAGTTGGACCTGAAGGTCTGGATGGAGGACCAGATGACTAAAGGAAGAGAGGAAGTAATGTTTATTGTTTATTGTTAGACATGGAACAAAGTTACGACAAAGTGACAATAAAGTTCTGGTCAAGTTTGGATAAAGTTCCAATAAGGTTACAAAGTTACGGTTAAGTTAGGACCTTACAAATGACGGTGCTGATTTTGCGTGCTTTTTTATGAAGTCGGTGTAAAGGGCGTTGTTTACCTTGGGACGCATGTTCTTGCTGGTCCAGTCGGCGGTGTAGGCGTCGGTGTATTCGTCCAGGATGTGGTAGAGATCGTAGCATTCGGGCGGCGGCTCTACGTCACCGTTCAAAATGGCCGACGCGCGGATTTCCCGTCCGTAGAACCTGAAGCACAGAAATACTCAAATAAATAAAATACAACAATACTTGAAATGAAGGTTAGCTAGCAGGTTGTGGAAAATCCCACTCCTCCCTCCTCCTGCTCCCAGCTCATCTGTAAAGGCAGCTCACCTGATGCTAACCCTCTCCCCCATGAACACAGGAGCCGGCCTCGTGAACACAGGAGCCGGCCTCGTGAACACAGGAGCCGGCCTCGTGAACACAGGAGCCGGCCTCGTGAACACAGGAGCCGGCCCCGTGAACACAGGAGCCGGCCCCGTGAAACACAGGAGCCGGGCCTCGTGAACACAGGAGCCGGCCCCGTGAACACAGGAGCCGGGCCTCGTGAACACAGGAGCCGGGCCCCGTGAACACAGGAGCCGGCCCCGTGAACACCCTCACCAGCCTCAGCACCCTCACCAGCCTCAGCACCCTCACCACCCTCACCAGCCTCACCACCCTCACCACCCTCAGCACCCTCACCAGCCTCACCAGCCTCACCACCCTCACCAGCCTCACCACCCTCACCAGCCTCAGCACCCTCACCAGCCTCAGCACCCTCAGCACCCTCAGCACCCTCAGTACCCTCAGCACCCTCCATATTCTTCACAGGTAGTTCATTGATCGTACTTGCGGTTGGTGTCTTTGCGTTCGATCAGGCCAGACCCCTCCAGAGAGATGCCAGCGAACAGACCTCTGGACCGACAGTACGTGAACACGGCCGCCGGGCTGCGGATCGACACGTCCGCCTCCACGTTCCTGAACACATCACAGGTGAAGGTGACCGTTACAGACAGTGTACATAACCCACAGGTAGATAACCCACAGGTAGATAACCCACAGGTAGATAACCCACAGGTAGATAACCCACAGGTAGATAACCCACAGGTAGATAAACCACAGGTAGATAACCCACAGGTAGATAAACCACAGGTAGATAAACCACAGGTAGATAACCTACAGGTAGATAAACCACAGGTAGATAACCCACAGGTAGATAACCCACAGGTAGATAAACCACAGGTAGATAAACCACAGGTAGATAACCACAGGTAGATAACCCACAGGTAGATAACCTACAGGTGTCTCACCTTCCGATCGGACCCACGGCCACCGTGCAGTTCCCCCCCAGCGTCAGGTTCCCCCCCTTCGTGAACGCGTCCACGGCCCGGCGCTGATTCAGGATGATCACCAGGTCCGACACCTGGGGGGGGGGGGGGGGGGGGGGGGAGAAACACAGGTGTTACAACAGGTCAACACACCTGCAACAGGTAAACACACCTGCAACAGGTACACACACCTGCAACAGGTACACACACCTGCAACAGGTCAACACACCTGCAACAGGTACACACACCTGCAACAGGTACACACACCTGCAACAGGTCAACACACCTGCAACAGGTACACACACCTGCAACAGGTCAACAGGTAAACACACCTGCAACAGGTCAACAGGTAAACACACCTGCAACAGGTCAACAGGTCAACACACCTGCAACAGGTCAACAGGTACACACACCTGCAACATAGATCATCATTGGACTCACCTCCACCCCGATCTCGAAGCCTCCGCCCAGGCCGGCGATGCCGATGGCGGACGGAGCCGACCAACCTAGAAACAAACGGGAAAACAGACATAGTGACATCACTACAGAACACTCGCGCTCCTATTGGCTAGCGCTCCAACAGAGCTGGCCAGCTAACCAATCAGATCAGACTGGGCTCTGGTTTCAGACAGAGGGTGAAAAGAGGTATGAGACAAATGAAAAATAAAGAGCTTTTTGAACATTAAAGCATGGAGACATGTCACAGTAGAGACAGAGAGACAGAGAGACAGACAGTAGAGACAGAGAGGTCCCAGTAGAGACAGACAGGTCCCAGCAGAGACAGACAGGTCCCAGTAGAGACAGACAGGTCCAGTAGACAGACAGAGAGACAGACAGTAGAGACAGACAGTAGAGACAGAGAGACAGACAGTAGAGACAGAGAGTAGAGACAGACAGGTCCCAGCAGAGACAGACAGGTCCCAGTAGAGACAGACAGGTCCCAGCAGAGACAGACAGGTCCCAGTAGAGACAGACAGGTCCCAGTAGAGACAGACAGGTCCCAGTAGAGACAGACAGGTCCCAGTAGAGACAGACAGTAGAGACAGACAGGTCCCAGCAGAGACAGACAGGTCTCAGCAGAGACAGACAGGTCCCAGTAGAGACAGACAGGTCCCAGCAGAGACAGACAGGTCCCAGTAGAGACAGACAGGTCCCAGTAGAGACAGACAGGTCCCAGTAGAGACAGACAGGTCCCAGCAGAGACAGACAGGTCCCAGCGGAGACAGACAGGTCCCAGCAGAGACAGACAGGTCCCAGTAGAGACAGACAGGTCCCAGCAGAGACAGACAGGTCCCAGCGGAGACAGACAGGTCCCAGCAGAGACAGACAGGTCCCAGCGGAGAGAGACAGGTCCCAGTAGAGACAGACAGGTCCCAGTAGAGACAGACAGGTCCCAGCAGAGACAGACAGGTCCCAGCGGAGACAGACAGGTCCCAGCAGAGACAGACAGGTCCCAGCAAGGTCTGGGTTTCACCAAAATAAAAGATAAGACGTCGGAAGACAAGAGGAGGAATCCCATCAGAGACCAGAGGCTGAAACACTGCAGACGTGAGGTCTCTTATTAAAGTGATTATCATCTCATTAGGGCCGGCCCCTAGTTCACCTGATCACACCTGATCACACCTGATATCTCACCTGATCACGCCTGATCACGCCTGATCACGCCTGATCTCACCTGATATCTCACCTGATCACGCCTGATCTCGCCTGATCACGCCTGATCACGCCTGATCTCGCCTGATCACACGTGATCACGCCTGATCACGCCTGATCACGCCTGATCTCGCCTGATATCACCTGATATCTCACCTGATCACGCCTGATCACGCCTGATATCGCCTGATCTCACCTGATATCACGATATCTCACCTGATCTCGCCTGATCTCGCCTGATATCACCTGATATCACCTGATATCTCACCTGATCACGCCTGATCACGCCTGATCTCACCTGATATCTCGCCTGATATCACCTGATATCACCTGATATCTCACCTGATCACGCCTGATATCGCCTGATCTCACCTGATATCACGATATCTCACCTGATCACGCCTGATCACGCCTGATCTCGCCTGATATCACCTGATATCACCTGATATCTCACCTGATCACGCCTGATCACGCCTGATCTCACCTGATATCTCGCCTGATCTCGCCTGATCTCGCCTGATATCACCTGATATCACCTGATATCTCGCCTGATCACGCCTGATCACGCCTGATCTCACCTGATATCTCACCTGATATCTCACCTGATCACGCCTGATCTCGCCTGATCACACCTGATCACACCTGATCTCGCCTGATCTCGCCTGATCACACCTGATATCTCGCCTGATCACGCCTGATCTCACCTGATATCTCGCCTGATCACGCCTGATCACGCCTGATCTCGCCTGATCTCGCCTGATCACGCCTGATCTCGCCTGATATCGCCTGATCTCGCCTGATCACACCTGATATCACCTGATCTCACCTGATCACACACCTTTAAAACTAGTTCAATTAGAGAGGGAGAACAACAAGGCAACATGGGAACAAGGGGTGAAACAAGAGAGGAAACAGGGAAGCAGAGGAGGAAACAGGAGAGGAAACAGGAGAGGAAGCAGAGTAGGAAAACAGAGTAGGAAACAGAGTAGAAACAGAGTAAACATGAGTCCTTACGTCTGTCCCCCAGCCTGGCGATCACGATGCCGCTGCCCCCCCGGGCCGTGATCATGAAGCCGGCCTTGATGACGGAGATGATGGCGAGGCCCTCTGCCTTCGCTATCACATGAGCTGAAACACATTCAACATTTAGAGAGTCAATAAACCAACATGCCCCCCCCCCCCCCCCCCACATGGAGTCTTCCTTACGGGGGATGAGTCGGTCAGTCAGCCCCGTTCGGTTTGAGATCTCAGTGAAATCTCTCAGGATCTTCGCCGCTTTCTTGGCCTCCGACTTCAGGTTGGACGGGATGGGGTTATTCACTGAAACACACAATAACACACACAATAACACACACACAATAACACACACACACACACACACACACACACAATAACACACACACTAACACACACACTAACACACACAAACACACACACTAACACACACAAACTAACACACACACACTAACACACACACACACACACACTAACACACACACAAACTAACACACACACACTAACACACACACTAACACACACACACACACACACTAACACACACACAAACTAACACACACACACTAACACACACTAACACACACTAATACACACTAACACACACTAATACACACACACACACACACACACACACACACTAATACACACACACTAACACACACACACACACTAACACACACACACACTAACACACACACTAACACACACACAGAGTCAGTCCGACCCCCCAGGCACAGATTGATCCTTTTATTTTTAATATCAATGATTCATTTTAGGTTTAAATGTAATTTTCTTAGATTATTTTTGTATTTTTACTTTTCAATTATTATTTTTCACTATATATTTATTATTATTTTTCCTCCATTTAATTGTTGTATATTAATATTACCATGATGTATTATTTGTATGTATTATGACACTTGTTTGCAGCCAGTGTGTATTCAGTAGAAAGATATGAATACAACACTTTCAGATTTCCCACCAATGACACGCTGTGTAAAACACTTAACTCTTTGACCCCCATCACTCTGTGGACCTGACTGCGGCACAAAGAGGGAAGTCACAGCCCCTCAAAGAGCTCCTTGTTGATGTTAGCTTCATCTAATCTCATCTGAATCTGTGCCCAAAGATCAGCTAACGTTTACAGACGCTCCGAGGCTCTGCTTGTGGAGGCAGACTAACTCTGAGCTCTGAGCGGGACGTACAGAGGAACCATGAAGGTGAGCTGTGGTTCCTGTCCAAAGATCAGCTAACGTTTACAGACGCTCCGAGGCTCTGCTTGTGGGATACATATTGGACTGCAATTCAAACTATAAATAAGAAACTAATGATTAATTTTCAAAATCATTTATAAAATTAGAGGAAATTGCTTCCAGTAAATGTCCTTTCCCTTTCAGGTGTGGTTCCTGTTAAACTGGGTTCTCCTGATCTCCTCTGGCTCTGTGTGATCAGCTGATTGTTGGCGTGTCGTCATCTGTCAGGAATGTGCCGAGAGGCATGTTGGCAGACCGGTCTCTGACAGCACATACCATCGAGCTAATGGGTTAACTGGGAGGTTCTGCTGGTTCTGCTGGTGTTCCAGGGGGTTCTGCTGGTTCTGCTGGTGTTTCAGGAGCTCATTCTGTTCTGTGAGTGTTTCAGGAGGTTCTGTTGGTGTTCCAGGGGGTTCTGTTGGTGTTTCAGGAGGTTCTGTGAGTGTTCCAGGGGGTTCTGTTGGTGTTCCAGGGGGTTCTGTTGGTGTTTCAGGAGGTTCTGTGAGTGTTCCAGGGGGTTCTGAGAGTGTTTCAGGAGATTATGTTGGTGTTCCAGGGGGTTCTGTTGGTGTTTCAGGAGATTATGTTGGTGTTCCAGGGGGTTCTGTTGGTGTTTCAGGAGATTATGTTGGTGTTCCAGGGGGTTCTGTTGGTGTTTCAGGAGGTTCTGTGAGTGTTTCAGGAGATTCTGTTGGTGTTCCAGGGGGTTCTGTTGGTGTTTCAGGAGATTCTGTTGGTGTTCCAGGGGGTTCTGTTGGTGTTTCAGGAGATTCTGTTGGTGTTCCAGGGGGTTCTGAGAGTGTTTCAGGAGATTCTGTTGGTGTTCCAGGGGGTTCTGAGAGTGTTTCAGGAGATTATGTTGGTGTTCCAGGGGGTTCTGAGAGTGTTTCAGGAGATTATGTTGGTGTTTCAGGGGGTTCTGTTGGTGTTAACCGTTTTTTGGGGGGTCGAATATTAGAATATACATTTGCTTTCCATTTCCCATCCCTAGTTCTAGTCACAGTTGAAGCAGTTTGAATCACCGTATATGTTCTAGTTGGCTCTAAGGAGGTTCCTAGGCAAACATTCACTGGGGGCCCCTCGAACCAGCTTTTCATCCCAAATTGTCCCACCCACATTGAGGATGCTTCCTACGCCCATGGTTCTGATGACCTCTGAAGGTATATTCATCTATGAAGAGTTTCTTTAGGTCCAATAGGACGTTCTAGTTTCCTACGATGGGGGTTCTAAACGTCTTTGAGGAGGTTCTATCTTTTACCTATGAGGGATTCTATTGGTCTATTTCTATTGAAAAGGTTCTAGTCATTAAGGAGGTTCTTTTGGTCTGATTTGTCTTTGGGAAGTTTGGAGTTTCTCATATCTCTGTGTGGATACTCCCCTGGTTAGGAGCAGCAGTGACTCGTCACCAGCTGATGAGCTCATTGGGAGGAGACTCAGGTCTGACTGGAGCTTCAGGAAGTCGTTAAAACCACTTTAATCAATTAACTCTGACTCACACATCAATGACGTCATCTCTGCTAGACGACTAATTAACCAATCACAGGCCCCGAGCCCCAACTCAACATTTGTTTACATAAACACAGTCTGATGAGACCACAGAGTTGAATTAGCTCTAACACACATCGGTCAGTGTCAGTAGGTAACACTGTCCTGTAACAGAACCAGGACTCAAACCAGAACATCTTTACAGACTGTTTCCTGAAGAGGCTGCACTGAGAACCACCAATATGTGTGGAGCTCTGAAGGAGAGCTGGCTAACGTTAGCGGTTAGCGACAGGTACGCTGAGGTTCCATGAAGCGTGTTCAATACCTGACAGAAACCCAGTGTTTCCCCCACCATTGTCTTGAAGGGGAGCTGCGCCCCGCCAACGGAGCCCCGCGCCCCCCCTGAAATTCAAGGTGTTTAAAAAAATATATATTTATTTTAATTACATTTTTTTTTAAATATAGATATATATAGCACCAAATTGCAACTAATCTATATCTACTGTCACTTTTCACATTGAACATGTGCTCTTTTATTAAATAAACTAAACACTTTCATTTGAAGTTGTGAGTTTAGTGTTTTTGACCCAAAGAAACACTGATGCCTTCATCAATAACAATCATCCACAGCTCCTCCCTCTGCTCCAGAGGATCTAAACAATATATACTCAAGTACTGTACTTAAATACATTCTGAGGTACCTGTACTTTACTTGAGTATTTCCATTTACTGTGTACTTCTACTCTAGTTCAGGGTTCAAGTACAAGATCTGAGTACTTCTCCTTTTACTCAAGTACAGGATCTGAGTACTTCTCCCGCCTCTACTCAGGTAGACAGGTGAACAGACCAACAGGTGAACAGACCAACAGACCAACAGGTGAACTTACTTCTCTCTGCTGTTTTCCTCCTCTTTCCTTCCTTTCCTCTGTTTTCTCTTCACCTGTCGACAGGTGAGCAGCGCGAGCCTCTCCTCTCTTCACTTCCGCCTCGTTGCCGGAAACCACGCACGTCACGTCACGTAAAAAAAACATAAACATGCAGCGTGGTCGTCAGGGAAACAGCTGGGCGCACTCCCGTGACGTGAGCGCGTCCCGAG